AGCCGCTTCAGTAAAGTAAGGTAAGGTCAGCTGTGGCAGGACCTCGTTTAAGAACGCAGGCAAGGCACAGCGCAGGAGGGGCAGACCTTGGCGTTGTAGGTCTTCTCCAGCTCTTCCTTGTACATCTTGACCTGGTCCTCGTGCTGGCTCCGCAGCTCCATCAGGGCCTCGCTCAGCTTGCTCTCGAACTCCTGCTGCCGGCCCGTGTCCATCTCCACCATGCGCGTCTCCAGGCGCCGCTTGGACTCGCGCAGCTCCTGGCAGGGAGGGACAGAGCAGGTCAGCCGCGGCCTGGACTCGCAGCTGCACTTCCCCCCGCTGGCTGACAGGGGGCAGTGTGGAGCACAGCTGTGTGTGTGAGCAGATAGGCAGGGTCTGGGATTACCAGAACCCAATCCCCTTTAATACGTCTCGAGAAACTGACGCCTGACTGACATGGAGGAACAGGGAAGCTGCTGTGTGTAGGGCCTTATGGGATGATCTGAAACTTGCAAGTGACAGAAAGATCTGCATCCTGCATCAGGTGAGCCTAACTTTTTTCTAGCACACTACGAATGCAATAAGGTTTTTTGTTTGTTTGTTTTTTTACAAACTGTAGGGGCTCTGCATTTTGTGCAATGATAATTATTGAAATAGATCTGGAAAATCTCAATTTTCCACATAAAATCAGTCCTGTCCAGGCGCATAAACAAGCAGGTACTTCAGACGCATCAGAACTGCCCTGTGACGATGTGCCTGAATGACATCACAGGTCAAGCCCCAGACTGACCAATCAGAGACCAGCTTTCTCTCCCACCTTACCATAATGGTCTAACTTCACAAGTGCCTCTGTGCACGTCTGCACTGAATCAGATAATAGGCACAACAGGTAGAGAGAGAAAAGATCACAGTTGCTTAAACCCTGAGAGATTAAGGTTTCTGGCTCCTGGCTGTGTCCGACAGGCACTGACCTCATTGTAGATGTTCTTCTGGAACTCCAGCTCCTCTTTCAGCGTCTGGATACGGTTCTCAGCATCCACTCTCCTCAGCATCTCGTCCTGCAGCTGCTTCTTGGCATCGACCAGGCCGCCCTCCAGCTGTCAGTCACAAACCGACAGGAGAGCTCAATGGAGGGGTTTCAGAAAGGCTGAGAATGGACCAGACACTCTTGTGCGTCCTCAGCTGTGAGATCTGAAGACACACTGGCTGAATGCATGTCAGACTGACTTCTGCTTTGGGTCAAACGTGACAAGGACTCTTCTGGAATAACCCAGCTCAGATCAGCTTCTGGACTCACAAACACTGCTGAGTGTGGAAATGTTTGTCTGTGGGGAGGAACTATCCAGGGAGAAACAGCGGTATTCACTACTGCTTCACATTGTTTTGATCTGAATCTCCTGCAATGGCACATCATTATGAAGAGAAAGGCATGTCTTCTCAGCACCAGAATGCAGATTACGCTGCACTGACCACAAGATGGGAAATGTCACATTTCCTTGCTCTCTAATGGCACCCTGCAACTCCCAGCTGGCAGCCCCACTGGAGCTCAGCAGTGTGAGCCTGGCTAGTACCTGGATGGGAGAGTCCTGGGAAGCCTAAGGCTGCTGCTGGAAGAGGTGTTAATGGGACCAGTAGGAGGTGCTCACCCTGCAGTCCGTGTGGGTCCTAATGTCCCAGTATAGTGACGGGGACACTATACTGTAAAAAAAGGCACCACTCTTTGGATGAGATGTTAAAACCGACGTCCTGACTCTCTGTGGTCATTAAAAATCCCAGGGTGTTTCCAAAAAGAGTAGGGGTGCTCCTGGTGTCCTGGCTAAATTTCCCCCTGGCCTTTACCCATCATGGCCTCCTAATAACCCCCCCTCTCTGAACTGGCTTCATCTCTCTGCTCTCCTGCCCACTGAGAGCTGGTGTGTGGGGAGCGGACTGGAGCATCATCCAGGTGGGGCTGCACACTGGTGGTGCTGGAGGGGAAAATTATTAGCCTTCTAAATTGCAAGATTGGACAGCTGTCCTTTTTGTACATTGAGCAAAATGTTGTACTTCCTAAATCGGCCTCGGGGTGGAGCTATAGGCATTGAGAACATTTTCCTGCATGAGCTACTGCACTCTGTACGATAACCTGACTCCATTCACTTCACAAGGTACGGAGAAGAATTCTGACAATCCATCCATAACCTCAAATATGCATACGATCAGCCCAAACCCATGCACTACTGTACATGAAATAGGAAAATAAAATAAAATGATCTGATTTTGTTTTTCATTGCAGAGCTTCATTGCAAGCAGTATTTATTCAGTCAATTCACGTAATTTGCCATCTTGCAAGCGATCAATTAAGAATGATTTGCAGGAATGACCTCCTCCCGTCCAATCAGCAGGTGGTAAATGAGAAGAGCACATTTTCCAAATGTCCTCAGGCCTGCCTGCAGTAGCTCAGTGTGGGCACTGAAGGGTTCTCACCGTTGTGACCTCCGAACGACTTAACCATTCAGTGGCTCAAGCGATCACTGATGATTCTTTCTGAATGTGGGTTGGTAACCACTGATGTTTACTTTGAAAATAGACTTCTGATTGATCCCTGGATCAATTAACTACTAACTACCAAACATGTTAAATGGGCTGAATATTTGTGACTTTTCTCATGTTCTTACATAAACCTGCTGTATTAAGACTTCCTTAATACACCAGGCCTGCAGACTCCTGGCTTCAAACCTATGGATAAGGGGATAGATTGCTGAACCCAGTTAACTTGAACTGGGCCGATTCAAGCGTTCCTCCAGCTCTTAAGACTTAAAGCCCAGCTGGATTTTGTACAAGGGCTGGGACAGCAGTGGATGCTGCCGAGACGACACTGCCCTGCCTTACCTTGCCCAGCTGTGCCTTCAGGTCCCTGAGCTCCGCCTCCAGGGTGCGCTTTTCCCCCAGCGC